TGCACACAAACACCCCTAGGGTAATTCCACTTGGTTGCCTTTACAAAATGGCCACATTACGCATGTGAGATATCTTAGCAAAAACAAGCAAATACAAGATCATAGTCCCTCGATGACGCTATCTAAGTTGCCTTACAAATGATCTTAGTCCCTCAAAAATAATGCTAAGATACCTTGCAATATTGCTAATCATGGTTATACGATGATCCACGCCCGTCCCGTTTACATCCAAAGATAGGGTTGCTTACCAAATCAATGGTAAGACAAAAATGTCAAAGGAAAAGAAAATGAACAAGAAATACATTTATGTAAGTAGATTGCTCCTAATTACTTGCTTCATTTCAAAACAAACATCCTTTCTATTTTCAAAACAAACACTTACACTTTCAAACATCTTACAAACTTGAAAACATTTTCAAAAGATCAACATCTTTGTATACATTCTTACGAACGAGAATCATTACAAAGATTGCCTAAACAATGGCCTCTTTACAAAATACTTTCAAAAAACCACACAAAACACAATTTCAAACAAAATCAAGTGATCTAGAAAGTATCTAAGAGCCCATGGAAAACCATGGATGAAAAGGTTGGTAATACCTTCCCTTTTCATAATCTACCCCACGAACTCAAGAAATAATCTCAAAGGTATTTCATGTGCTTTTTCACCTTTCCTTTTGGATAAAAGAAAAGTCGGTGGCAACTCTTGCTAACCGCAACATTTACGATAAAACGCAAAACCTTCAAGTCAGTTCTCCCACCGTATCACAATTCCCCAATACCTTACTTAATTTGTTGGTAATCACCTTTTAAATGATTTTTCTAGATTGAAGAGAAACATGATATAGACCTATAGTCAGTTATGGTTTTTGTTATTGTGGACTTAGGAATCAGGGTAATCAGTGCATTGTTGACAGTCTTGTATATCTTTACAACCTCAAAAAAATCTTTGACTGTTGCAACCACACCAGGCTTCACAATGCTCCAAGTAAAATTAAAAAACATGGCTCCATAAACATCTAAACCAGGGCTTTTCAGGTCCCCGATGCCTTTTATGGACTTGTAGATTTCTGTTTATGATATTGGTGCAATGAGATCAAGATTATCAACATTACAAAATTGTTTTCTTTCCCTCATTTCTACAATATCAATGCCCTTCATGTTACTCTCAGATTTCCCAACAAGTGGCTATAGTAATCCAACACTTCATTTTCAATATCTTTTCTATCAGTCAACATTGTCCCATCACTTTTAGTGAGGGTTTTAATGGAAGTTTACTTTAGTTTGGACTTCAAAGAGGAAAAAATGTGTTATTTTTTGCTCTACTTATGCTTTATACAGATCAGTTCTTACCCTATCTAATTGATTTTTTATTCCATCTAGAGGCATACTCGGGGACCTGATTGTAGGTTAGAGCATGTGTAATTTCTTTCATAAGCAATACATTTTCCCACACTCAATATGATTCTTCCAGTTACAATTACAATCTCATGAATACATTGGTGCAGTATGGAATCAATATGGAAGCATACATGCAGTATGAAAAAACTAGACGCATATATGACATTAAGTTAAGGCATAAAAAAAGGTCTTACATGTGTATTCTCTGAACAACGGTCAACCCACTTCCCATTCTTCTTTTTATGGGTGACCATGAAGAGCTCGTCCGGATTTGGTGGTCGACTAAACTTTTTCTTCTATAAATAAAGACAACATATATATGGTTACGATGAATATCGGATAAATATGTTGACGCGTTGAAATTACAAATAGAATACACATCAATTCTATAGAAACATCATGATGAGCTCTACGTCCCGTGGTATGGACCGCCCCCCTTTGGTTGATGCTCGATTAGTCTTATTTTGTCGAGAGACCTTTTTTAATTCTTCCGATTGCCACCCATCAAGAAGATACGCATAAACCTTTTCACCCATCTATTTCGATTTTTCCCCCTTTTTCCTAATCTTACCAAATATATCAGATATTCTTTTACCATAAGCTTTATGAAACAAATCTTGTATTTTGGCATCAACACACGGCTCCCATTGCACAAAAGACTGGAGAAAGAGAAATATTGATGATTAAACTGTAAAAAAATATACATTATCATCATACTATAGTAAAAAGGAAATTACATGTCTTACTTTAAACAAATCAAAGTATGCATGTCTCTCTTCTCTTCTATTCTTAGGTTTAAGCTCACTATACTGCAAGAAATTTCCTTTATGAAGTTTTATTAAAACTTTTCTAATAGCTTCAGAATCAATGCTTCTTGGAGTCAACCTATAAAGCAAATATCAAGTTTACCAAACAATTAGAACAAAGATCATTTGAACATAGTATTCTACAAACTTATGTAAATGCATTGCATTTTATTAGTAGTATATTTGTATTAGACATTTATTTGGTAAATGTACTATGTTATAATGTTATAGACTTGTTCTCATACTTGAATAAGCAGTAAAATCTAAGTGTTGCAGAGATTATCTAAGTGTTTTACATTAAACAACATCAAATTTGGACAGCAAAAAAGGATTTTTAACTTCATGCTTTATGTATCAAAAAGTGTGCGTAACTAAATTTTTTACCCGTTTCCCACAATTCTAATCATCGGCCTTTGCCCATCAACAAATGCTTGTTCTATGGCCTCCTCTTCCTCATCAGAAATAGTTTGTTCCCTCTCTTATTCCTCCCCTGCTATTATGGTGTGATTGACAGCTGGACCTTGCAAAACATGATGTGTCACTCCAAGGGTAGGAACAAATGTGGATTCCTCAAATGTCGGTGATGTGTTGGTTGTCTAAGGTTATGACGTGTAAGTACGAAGTGCGCCTAAGAGGGGGGTGAATTAGGTCATTTAAATTTGTTTCTGGTTTTAGTGATGATGGATATTATTTTTATGGTTTATGGTGAGTTTATGAAAGAGTAAAGTTAATAAAAATAAAGAGACACAAGCGATATATCCTGGTTCCCCTTACAGTCCGAGAGTACTCCAGTGCCCTTTCAACATGAAAGAGATTTCCTTATAGTTGGAAAACTTAAACAAGAACTACCAAAACAATAAATAATCCTCTTGTGCCAAGAACAATCCTCTTGGATTTTTCACTATGTCAGCAATGAGAACAATCCTCTCAAAGTGACTTTACTTGTATCCAACAATCCTGGAAAAACAAGATTTCAAAATCACTTGAACTTATTTTCAACAATCCTGAAAAATAAGCAAGTATAACAATATTTGATTTGAGTGAGTTTGTGTAGAAATGATCACTTTAAGTGATTTCATCAATGAATTGATCTTATCTTCCAATACAATAGTATACAATGACTCAAGATATATAATGCTCAAAGTTTTCTGGTTGACAATATGTGAAAGTGTGGAGAAAACTTGTGTATGAAAGTGTATAAATGCTTGAGTTTGATTTTTTGAAAATTCAGAAAATATGATTGGAAGAGGTGTTTAAAATGATTTTGAAAATGAGTATTTATATGTTCATAGCACCCTTTTGAAACAGCATATAATTCTGCAAATGAATCATGAACAATTTCCAAGATAAAGTGAAAGGTTTCCATGAAATGGTGTTATGACCAGGCATGAGTAAAGCTGTTGTTTTTCAAAATCGTTCAGCATGCAATCTATTTCACCCTTGTGTAAATCGATTGCACGAGGTTTCAACAGCTAAAAATTTCAAATATTTTGAGTTAGCAATCGATTGCATAAGTGTATAAATCGATTGCACTTGAAGTCAGTAGCAAAAATTGATTGAGAGCAATTGATTGCAAAAACATGTAAATCGATTGAACTTAGAAACAGTAGCTAACATTTTGAAAATGTGAAGCATGTACTCAATTACACCAATATGCAAATCCATTTCACATAAGTAAAAATTGATTTTTTTTCTTAGACAACTTGAGAAAAAGTTTGGACAGGATAAAATATTTCTTTTGACCATTGAGCATCTATGTCTTAAGTTCAAAGTAAGTATTATCATTATACCTTGAAATTTTATAAGTGCTTGAACCAAAGACTTTATCCAAAGATGCTTTTATATTGATCAATAATCTTTGCCTTCTTGTCAAAATAGTTTGTCTTCATCAAAATAAAAGTGCATTTGAGAAGCTTGATTTCATATTCTCCCCCTTTTTGATGATGACAAACGATCTTGCTTGATGCGTTGTAATTTTTGGAAAGAAACTTCTCCCTCTAAGATGCATAACTCCCCCTTTGTATGAGAAGGTTGGAATCCTTTGAATTTGTTCATCTTGGTTGAGGAGTACCTTAGAAATTCAAGACAGGAAATATACAAGCATAAAGTGCCACATCCTTCTCCCCCTTTGAAATTATCAAAAATAAGGGAAAGATGGAATAAAAATGGATAATAATAAAACAACATTGAAAAAACTTAATCAATCATGCATAAAAAAATAGTCATAGACATAGTCATAGTAAAATAACAATTACAAAGAAATTTGAACAATAATAAACAAAACGTAGCATAATGTAACAAGGACATAACAGTAGAAATAACAAAGTTGAAACAAGTATGTGAAAGCATAAAAAGGATAGAAAGCACCATATATGTCGTGTTCATCAAGAATGCCAAGTTCTCGTCAAATCTTGTAAAATGTTTCTCTTGCCAAAGGTTTAGTGGAGATATTGGCAAGTTGATTATGAGTATCTACAAATGTGACCTCAACATCTCCTTGAAGTACATGATCACGAAGGAAATGATGGCGTATGTCGATGTGTTTGGTTCTTAAATGCATGACCGGATTCTTTGAAATGTTTATTGCACTTGTATTGTCTCACCGAAGAGGAATGCATCCTAGATCGAGTATGTAGTCACGAATTTGTTGCTTGTGCCACAATATTTGAGCATAACTACTACCCGCTGCAATATATTATGCTTTGGAAATGCATTTCTTTGTTTGAAGTGCCGAAAATGATGTTTCTTCAAGTCTATGCTAAGAGAAACGCATGCTTGTTTCTTCCAAGCCCATTATACTAATGCATTTCCAAAGATGTGACAAGTACCACTTGTGCTTTTTCTATCAGTTTTACAACCTACATCATCAGCGTCATAATAACCAACTAAATTGCAAACACTACCTTTAGGATGCCATAATCCAACATTTGTTGTTCCTTTGAGATACTTCATAATCCGTTTCACCGCCATGAGATGTGATTCCTTTGGATTTTCTTGAAAGCGAGCACATAGACAAACACTGAACATTATGTCAGGACGGCTTGCCGTCAGATATAATAAGGAGCCAATCATACCTCTATATTTTGTAATGTCAATGGAAACACCTGATTCATCTTGATCAACATATGTACCGGAACCCATTGGTGTAGACATTGCCTTACAGTTATCCATGTCAACTCTTTTCAACAGTTCCTTGCAATAATTGGATTGGTTGATGAATATGCCATCCTTTAATTGCTTGATTTCAAATGTCCAAGAAAATAATTCATTTTACCCATCATGGACATCTCAAATTCTCCTTGCATCATTGCTGAAAATTCTTCACACATTTCTTTGTTTGAAGTGCCGAAAATGATATCGTCAACATAGACTTGAACTAGAAAAGTGTCACCTTTGATTTTCTTGATAAACAATGTCTTGTCAACTTTACCCTTTTCAAAACCTTTTTGGCATAGGAAATTACTTAGTCGATCGTACCATGCCCTTGGTGCTTGTTTCAAACCATATAGAGCTTTTCGAAATTTAAAAACATGAGATGGATTCTTGAAATCTTCGAACCCCCGGGGTTGCTTAACATAGACTTCTTCATTGATATATCGATTCAAGAATGCGCTTTTGACATCCATTTGGAAAAGCTGAAAATTTAATGAACAAGCATAGGCAAGTAAAAGACGAATAGCTTCTAACCTTGCAACCGGAGCAAAAGTTTCTTCAAAGTCTATTCCTTCTTCTAGAGTGTAGCCTTGTGCTACCAATCTTGCTTTGTTCAGAACAATTATACCATTTCCGTCAAGTTTTTTCTTAAATACCCATCTTGTTCCAATGATGTGTTTGTTGCTTGGCCTAGGGACAAGTTCCCAAACTTGATTCTTTTCAAATTGATTTAACTCTTCTTGCATAGAAATAATACATTGGTCATCGCCTAAGGCTTCATCAACTTTGGAGGGTTCAATTTGAGAGACAAATGCCATGTTTAGACAAGCATCTTTAATATTTAATCTTGTTGTCACACCTTGACTTATATCACCGATGACTTTATCGATAGGATGATCTCTATGATTCCTTCACTCCTTTGGTAGATCATTGAAGCTTGATTCCTATTGATATGTTTCTTCTTGTTGAATCGGCTGATCCTTATTGACATCTTTGGAAGTATTTTCTTGAGGAACTTCAAGGTCATCTTTGTCGTTGTTTAGGACAAAGCATTTGCAACCGAAAATGTGAAAGAAAGCAATGTTTGGTTTCCTTCCTTTGAAAAGTTCATATGGATTTTTTTTCAAGATTGATCTTATGTTAACTCTATTGCTAACAAAACATATCGTGCTCACCACATCCGCCCAAAAATATTTTGGAAGATTTGAATCACTAAGAATCGTTCTTGCAAGCTCTACAAGAGACCTATTCTTTCTTTCCACCACTCCATTTTGTTGAGGAGTCCTTGGTGCCGAGAAGTTTTGAGATATTCCATGTTCTCCATAAAATTTTTCAAATAGACCATTTTGAAATCTCCGCCATGATCACTTCTTATGGAGGAAATTGTTAGAGATTTCTCATTTTGAATTTGTTTAGCATACTTCTTGAAAGCCTTGAATGCATCACTTTTCTGAACTAAAAAGAATGTCCAAGTATATCTATAGAAATCGTCGACTATAACCAAAGCATATACATTACCTCCAAAACTTGTTGTTCTTGATGGACCAAATAAGTCCATATGCAAAAATTGTAGTGGCCTTGTAGTAGACACCACATTCTTAGATTTGAAAGTTGATTTTGTTTGTTTCCCTTTTTGATAAGCATCAAAAAGTCTATCTTTGACAAAATTTCTCTTAGGCAACCCAATGACAAGATCATGCTTGATTAATTTATTCAAGTGTTCCATATGAATATGAGCAATTCTTTTGTGCCAAAGCCATGAATCATCGTTGTTCGCCATGAGACATTTTACCTTCAAATATGGATCATCAAGGGAAATCATGAATATATTATTAATTCTTTTACCTTTAAGTATAACCTCATGTGTGACTTCGTATTCTATCAAGCATTCATCTTTGGTGAACTTGATATTGAAGCCCTTGTCATAAAGTTGGATAATACTAAGAATATTGTGCTTTAGTCCTTCAACATAAAGAACATCTTCAATGGATGTGAAAGGTAGAGCACCAACTTTGCCTTTGCCAAGAATTATTTCCTTATTATTGTCTTCATAAGTGACAAAACCCTTGTCCTTTAGTACTAAAATTGAAAATTGGTTATAATCTCTTGTCATATGCTTTTAACAACCACTACCAAGATACCAAAGATTGCACGTGGTCTTCAAGCATACCTAATAATCTTTATTATCAGAATGGTGTGAGGCCATCAATGCTAGATTTGCACTTTCATCACTATCAAAATCGGACGAAGAACTTATTTCATTATCCTCCCATGTAACATAGACCTTTTTGTTCTTGAGTTCCTTTTTGCCTTTGTAGCCACCTTTCTTGGAGAGTTTCGGACAATCCGACTTTATATGACCTTGCTTACCACATTCATAACATGTGACTTCTTGTGTTGATATGGAAGCTTCCCTTTTCTTAAATTGTTTCTTCCTTTTTGCATGAGAAAATGAATTGTCATTTCTACCAAATAACTTACCAAGCCTTTTAACAAGAAGCATGAAATTTTCATCTTCTTCCAGATTGTCTTCCTTTTCAAGTTCCTTGGAATCAATCTTTAAGGCAATATTCTTGGATTTATTCTCTTGATTTTCATGCTTTTCAAGTCTTCTGAGTTCCGTTTCATATTCTTGAAGTTTTCCAAACAACATTGCGGAAGTCATTGAAGAAAGACTTTTCTTTTCTGAAAATGTCATTACCTTTGGTTGTCATTCCCTAGTTAAGGATCTAAGTACTTTCAGATTTAGTTCATCATTCGTCAAAGTCTTACCAAGAGCACTTAGATGATTTTTCAAGTGCACAAATCTCTTTTGCAAGTCAAGGATGGTTTCTTCGGGCTGCATTCTAAATAGCTCGTATTCTTGACTCAAAGTATTTAGTCTTTGATCTTTTAACTTCAACAGTTCCTTCATGAGTTTGTACCAAGGTATCCCATATTTCTTTCACCGTTTTTCATGCTGAGACACAGAAGAATTCATCCATGCTAAGTGCACCTTGAAGAAGGTTGATTGCCTTTTTATCATAGAGGACTGTTTTCTTATCATCTTCATCCCATGCAGTTTTAGGCTTTGATGAGCCAGCACCATTGATCACAGTTATATGAATAAATGGACCATTCTCGACGGCATCCCATATTTCTTCTCCTTGTGCTTCTAGATGTGCCTTCATTCGTAGACAAAATATTCACCACAAAATAGATGAAGCTTGTTGTTACTATCACCATCTCTAAAAACGGGATTTTGATTTGCGGAAGCCATTCTGGATCTTTTAGGAACAGGTTACCTATAACTTGCTCTGATGCCAATTGTAAGTATGAAGTGCGCCTAAGAGGGTGCTGAGTTAGGTACTTTAAAAATTTTCTGGTTTTAGTGATGATGGATATTATTTTTCTGGTTTATGGTGAGTTTATGAAAGAGTAAAGTGCAGAAAAATAAAGAGACACAAGCGATATATCCTGGTTCCCCTCATTTTTCTGAGAGTACTCCAGTCCCATTTTAACATGAAAAAGACTTCCTTATAGTTGGCAAACTTAAACAAGAACTACCAAAACCAAGAACAATCCTCTTGGACCAAGAACAATCCTCTTGGATTTTTCACTATGTCAACAATGAGAATAATCCTCTCAAAGTGACTTTACTTGTATCCAAAAATCCTTGAAAAACAAGATTTTAGAATCACTTGAACTTATTTTCAACAATCCTGAAAAATAAGCAAGTATAGCAATATTTGATTTGAGTGAGTTTGTGTAGCAATGATCACTTTGAGTGATTTTATTAATGAAGTGATCTTCTCTTCCAATATAATAGTATACAATGACTCAAGATATATAATGCTCAAGGTTTTCTGGTTGAAAATATGTGAAAGTGTGCAGAAAACTTGTGTATGAAAGTGTATAAAAGCTTGAGTTTGATTTTTTGAAAATTCAGAAAATATGATTGGAAGAGGTGTTTAAAATGATTTTGAAAATGAGTATTTATATGTTCATAGCACCCTTTTGAAACAGCATATAATTCTGCAAATGAATCATGAACAATTGTTAAGATTAACTGAACGGTTTCCATGAAATGGTGTTATGAACAAGCATGAGTAAAGCTACTATTTTTCAAAATCGTTCAGCATGCAATCAGTTGCATCCTTTTGTAAATCGATTGCACGGGGTTTCAACAGCTAAAAATTTCAAATATTTTAAGTGAGAAATCGATTGCGCAAGTGTATAAATTGATTGCACTTGAAGTCAGTAGCAAAAATTGATTGAGAAAAATCGATTGCACAAACATGTAAATTGATTGCACTTAGAAACAGTAGCTAACATTTTGAAAATGTGAAGCATGTAATTGATTGCACCAATATGCAAATTGATTGCACATAAGTAAAAATTGATTTTTTTTCTTAGAAAACTTGAGAAAAAGTTTGGACAAGATAAAATATTTCTTTTGACCATTGAGCATCTATGTCTTAAGTTCAAAGTAAGTATTATCATTATACCTTGAAATTTGCTAAGTGCTTGAACCAAAGACTTTATCCAAAGATGCTTTTAGCTTGATCAATAATCTTTTCCTTCTTGTCAAAATGGTTTGTCTTCATCAAAATAAAAGTGAATTTGAGAAGCTTAATTTTACATGATGATGCTTCGATTGTCTGAAGCAGTGGAAGTGTTGGGGCTGTAAGAGGCGGGGAAGGTGTTGCGGTTGTATGAGGTGGTGGTATGAGGCGGTGGTGTTGATGCGCTAGTATGAGGAGGTGGAGGATCTTGTGTTCTTTGACGCATTCTAGAAGTGGTGCTTTTTTTCCTTGTGTCATGCTTCAAGTGAGATGCGTTTATAGCTAGAGCCTCGGGTTGCATATGTCGTGTACGGCATAACCTATCAACAACTCTTTTTAACACAATTTGCATTAGCAAGAATGCATCAAAAGATATTAAATTATAAAGAAACTAAATAGTGAAAGTTTTAGTCATCTTACAGTTTATTGCTTATTGGTGCTCTCTTCTTTTACCCTTCTCCTGTCATTTCAACTTACACCAACCACGAGCCACAGAAATCTATACGAATCTGCAGCTAAGAAATCAAAATGAATCAAAATGGGTGGAAATACAATTGTGTAAACTAAAAAGGAGAATCATCATTTCATCTATATACCATAAACTATAAGATGCAAATCAGCCTAGTGACCCATAAGATATCATAATACAATTGATATCCAATTCCAAAATAAATTCTCAAACATCAAATACAAAACAAACAAATCATACAAAACAAACCACATGAACAATTTCACTGATAAGTCACATGATTAAAACATACATGGGATCATTTGTCACTAGTAATAATAACATGGCCTATTATAAACTAAAACTACAACTAATTTACATCATTGTTCTCTCCATGTTGAATCATTGGATCATTTGTCACTAGTGCTGGCTCAACATCATCAATTAATCCTTCATCGGCTAAACCACATATTTCTTCAAGTTCTGTGATAGGCACAACTGGTTACATTTCATCAGATTGATAAGGCATTTCATCCTCGGTGTTATCTATCTCCACATAACCCCTTGGTTTTGTGGTGATTGCAGCACACCATCCATGCATGTTTCTACAAATATCCGGATATGGGATATAATACACCTGTTTTGCTTCTTGTGCAAGAATGAATGGGTCATATTTATGATATCATTTATTCATCTTAATGTCAACAATATTGTACTCCTTATTAACTCTTGTACCGCTATTATTTGTTGGATCAAACCAAGCACAATAAAATATGGCAATCTTGTTGCTAAAGACATGGTATTCCAATTGAACGATACGTTGGATGATACTGTAAATCATCTTCTCCTCTATTTGTACTTCCTTTCACATGTACCCCATAATTAGTAGTCTTTTTACCACGACTCCATTCTTCAGTGTGAAACTTGTACCCGTTAATAAAGTAGATTTTCCACGATGTTGCCATAGGATTAGAACAAAGAGCTAATGCCTTCACGTATAGGCTAGGTGTTCCATTTCTCTCATAATTCACTTAAAAATATATACATCTAACCTTAGATAGATTACATTGATAAACTGCATCAATGTGAGAAGTACACTTACATATTCCTTTAGCCAGGAAGGAAATTGCTCGTGTATAAGACCAGAAGCATCTTCCTCATTGATACGGTGATATTGCATGAATAATCTGACACCAAATATAAAATTTATGAAGTATTTATACACAATGGTTGAGACCAAAGCAATTGTTTTACAAAATGTACTTACTGGAAGTGTGGTTTAACCTCATCACAATTGATTAGGACATGCAGGTGAGCAGATTCCCATTCCTTATCAAGCACCCAATAGTCCTGAGGCTTTCCACCAGGACGACCGCATTTGTTAAAAATAGAAATTTTTGGTTAGACATTCTCATGATATGATCTATGATCATTTCTGAAACTTGTACTTGGCAACAAACTAACGGTCTTGAAATAGTGAGAGCAAAAATAAGTAGTTTCACGATGCAAGTAGGCAGTGCATATTGAACCTTCAACCTGACTTTATTTTTCACTGAACGCTTGTAGTCTCCCATCAATCTAAGAGCGAAACAGTTAAAAGATGTTATTTCATTAAAGTAATCTACAAAAATTACACATTGTTTACCTTTAAAATGGATACGTCCAACGATATTGTACAGGACCACCAATGATTGCTTCATTAGGTAGGTGAATCGGGAGATGTTCCGTCGAGTCAAAGAAACCTAGTGGAAAAATTATTTCTAGCTTTCATATAATGATGGGAATGTTCTATTCCAACCTAACAAGGTCTTCCAACTTCAATGTATTACAACACAAGTCTTTAAAGAAACGGCTTAACTCGGTTTGCGGCTTCCACATCTCACTAAGCAAGGAACGAAAAGTAATTGGAAGCAAACACTCCATGAATACATGATAATCATGGGATTTCATCCCCTTCATCCTACCTTTGGTGACATCAGCACACCTAGAAAGATTTGAGACATAGCCATCAGGCATTTTTAGTTCCTTAATACATCTACAAACTAGCTTTGCCTCTTCGGATGTCAACAAAAATTTTGCATTTGTCTTAGCCATCTTTCCATTAGGTAGAGGACGCATCTCTAAATCCCCACGTAAGCAGTTAAGAGGTAAATCCAATATTGCCTTCTCATTGTCCTTTGTTTTTGCAGGATCATTCATGACTGTGTTAAACACATTATCAAATACATTCTTCTCTATGTGCATCACATCAAGGTTGTGCCTTAGCAAGTTGTCCTTCCAGTATGGAAGATCCCAAAATATACTTTTTTTGATCCAATTATGTTGTTTTCCATACCCTGGAAATTTGGTGGCCCAGTCACTATCTGTGACTTTTGGAAAATCACAGACAGCTTCCCAAAGATCATGGCCGGTAAACATGTAAGGTGGTCTTTTTTTCTTGATCATGTTTTTTTAAATCTCTTTTTACTTTTTCTAAACAGATGATCCATTGGTAAAAACCAACAATGAAAATCGAACCAACATTGTTTTCCCCCATATCCTAATATGAAAGCCTTTGTACTATCCATACAATAAGGGCATGCTAATTTACCTTGTGTCCCCCATCCAGACAACATACCATATGCCTAAAAATCATTGATTATCCATATTAAATGCGCTCTCATTACAAAATTAGGCTTCATAGAGATATCATATGTCACAATTCCATCTCTCCACAAGCGCATCAAATCATCAATCAAAGGTTGCAAGACATCTATTTTAACTTTTGGGTTGTACGATCCAAGTACAAGACAAGTCAAAAACATGTTTGGTTTGGTCATGCACATTTCGGGAGGGAGATTGTATGGTGTGACTATTATCGGCCAACATGAATAAGGATAACTAGAGGCTTGAATGTAAGGTGTAAACCCATCAGTACATAAACCCAATCTTACATTTCTTGGGTCACTAGCATAATCGGGATAAACTTCATCAAAGTGTTTTCGTGCCTTTCCATCAGATGGGTGACACAGATCATTTGGATTGCTTGTGGTCTCACGGTGGAATCTCATTTGAGTTGTAGATTCCTTTGAAGCATAAAGTCATTGTAACCTAGGAATGATTGTAAAATAGAACATTCTCTTCACTTCCACATATTTGTATTTTCCCATTCCACTCTTTCGAGGAACATACCTAGCAGCTCCACAAACTCTACACTGAGTTAAAGTGTTATCTTCTTTATAATATAATAAGCATCCATTCACACAACAATCAATTTTCTCAACCTCCAATCCCAACTTAGACACCAACTTCTTCACTTGGTAATAGTTTTTAGGTAAGCATTGATTTGTTGGAAAAACATCGATAAGCATTTGAGTTAAAAAATCCATGGCCTTTTGAGGAGCATGCCAATTAGACATGGCAACCAACAGCTTAACTGAAATACATAGTTGGATTCATAAGCTCCCTTCTAAATGGGTTAGTTTGCATAGGTTAATACATCATAAAATCGTTGAGCTTCTTCATTTGGTACCTCGCCCTCACTAACTGTTTCGTTTTCCATATTAACATTCCCATCGGGAACATTAACAAATTGCCTCCTAGCATCATATACCATTTCATTCATTGCATCCAATTGTTCTTCATCACCCTGATTATCCCCACCATAATTTCTGCCACTACTAGAATGACCATCAAAGTCTACATTCTGAGTATCTTCTCCATGATCAGTCCATGTATAATAGTTGGGCAAAAAAACATTTTTGTACAAGTGATGTCTAACCTCACTAGGAGTCTTCAAGGGAATGCAAACGCATTTTTCACAAGGACACCTTATCCCTCCATCATTTAAAAAATCTGGTCGGTTCATGGCTTTATTGACAAAATCTTCAACTCCACTAACAAATTCATCTTTTAAACCATATCTATTGGAATTTACTCTATCGCAAATCCAACTTCGATCTATTTTCTACATAAAAAACAAACATAATTTTATAATATTCATTTGTTCAATTGACTTCTATGTTTATTCCAAAGCTACATATAATATAAGAGTAGAATGAATATTTATCTAGATATAGCTAACTATTCATTTTCGGGTTAACTGTAGAACTCAATGAGGTACTAGTAATATCTTAGAAAGGACCCATCATTTTTCCTCAATTTAGTTTAAACAAAATCAAACATTAAACTAAAATAAATAGTTTAAAAAGTATCACATAACTCAAATCATAACTGACATATCAACTTCATATAAATAACAGCAAATACAAAGAAAGGAAAGCTTACCCGTTAGAACAAAGCAGGACCTTAAATTACTAAACACCAAGTTCAAAATATTCCGACTCTCTTTATCCTTATGAATCTACACACCAAACACACAAAAACTTCAATACTATGTTTACACAATACGTAGTAACACCATTAATTTCACATTTCATTTAACAAAAACAATACCAACAATTAAGCTACAAAAATGGTGGTGAAAGAAGTGCTTTGTAAGAATAGTGAAGGGTGTTGTTGGACAGAAAAGTCACTTTGTAAGAAAATTCTTCCAACTAAGGGTCTATATACAAACATAAGCAATATTGTGTGGTTTTAGAAATAACTAGAGATGGTTTATTGATGAGAATGAATAAATCCCAGTGGCAGGAGGTTATTGATCTAAATCTCATTGGTGAATATTTTATGAATGAGTTTGTATTAAATTTAAGTTTTCCCCTTCCTTTTTAATTTGATATGAGATTGTTCATTTTTTTGCAGGCAACTGCTAAAATTATGATGAAGAATAAGAAGGTGATATCAATTTATTATTTTACCCTTCCTTTTCTACGATTTCTTTTAGGAATTTTACTTGAGAACTATAGACCATTCAAGTCATTAATTGCTCCTAAAGTGGATTTTTTTCTCAGCAGTTTCTTTTTCTAAATGCCCAAGTTAAATTCTAATTCTAATTTTCTAAATGTGGTACTTGTATATTTTCAGGGAAGGATAATCAATATTGCATCAGGAAAAAGGCATGAGTAATTGGCTTGACAAAATCTGTTGCAAAGGAATATGCTAGCAGAGGCATCACTGTAATTTTCTAAAATATTTGCATTTCTTCCTGATATTATCAACTGATAAATTTAGCTTAAACCCTATTTTTCTTGCTAGGTTAATGTTGTTGCTACAGGATTTATTGCATCTGACATGACTGCCAAGTTAGGAAAAGACATAGAAAAAAAGATTTTGGAGGCAATTCCATTAGGTAAACTACAGAAATATTCATAAGTTGAGATTTATTGAAGATTTTGTTAACTACTTCAACTCACTATTTTCAAGTTGGATTCAGGATGTTATGGTCAACCATAAGAAGTTGTTGGACTAGTGGAATTCTTGGCCTTTAATCAAGCTTCCAACTACATCACTGGGAAGGTAATTTATTTAACTGACCTTGCATACGAGTTCCTTTTTCATAAGTACACCGCATACTACATTTATAACATACAAATGTATTTTCCATAAGTACACCATGTTATAGTTCTTTAGTTTTTGTTATTTTTCAAGTGTTTATTTTTACATCATCACAAAAGCTTACTTTTTATAATATGATTACTGGGTTACAGGTTTTCACCATTGATGGAGACATGGTGATGTAAATCAATAATCTATTTCCCTAGTAATCTTAATTAATATGAGCTCTTGCGCCTAAATCACAGTTCATAGGAATTGTTTTCAACTGCTTTTGTAGATGATAGGCCGTTCTTTGATGAGTTTTGCTTGAACTCTATTTATGATTTATAGTAGAATCTTGGTGAGCTTATTCATAAAATGCAGGGAGAATAAACAGTTAGCATTTTATGGAGATACAAAATAATCTAGAGCAATATTGATGTCACAACTCAAGAAATTGATTAAGGTTATTCCCAACTACAAAGATAAGATTATGTTTCCTTCATTCTCATCACCTCACTTGCGACACCTGATTAATCAAGGGTAAATAATGTTTTATATTAGTACAAATTTGATTAATCAAGACTAAAAAATTGTTTTACTTGATTCGTTTTGATTTATCTATCATTGAACACCATTTCAGCCCATGGGAAATTCTTTCTTCCATAGGTCAACTAAAGGAGCTAGTGCATATTGATCTCAGTGTTAATTTTTTAAACTCTAAAGTCCCTTCCGAGCTTGGCCTATGCACAAATCTAACTTTATTGAGCTTAGCACGAAATAATCTAACAGGTTCTTTGCCTTTGTCATTAGAAAATTTGACCAAACTCTCAGATCTAGGATTATCAGATAATTCATTTTCTGGTTAAATTTATGCTTCATTGATCTCTAACTAGATGGATTTAATTTCCTTGCATATTTAAGTTTGCACTCAATAGGGAACCAATTCAGTGAGGGAAAACTCCTGTTTAATGAGGCATATTTGAGTCTTCAGTGGGCACTCAACGAGGAACCAATGAGGGACCTACAACAATGTGTGTTGGAGATGTAGCATGGTTAGGCGCTGGTGCATAAAGTGGGACTATTGTTGTTTTGATTCATGTTGGGTGGATTGATGTTGTTATTGGTTTGGGATGGAGGTACTGTCATGACAGTAGGTGAAAGTGTATTGGTTTTGGTGTTCTTAAGTGGTATTTCTTACGCCCCTTTAATAAAATAAAAATTTAAAGAAGAAAAACAGAAACTTGTACTAAATAGGGGTGGAAGAAAGGATAATAATTTAAAGGAGGTATTACAATATGACATCCTACTAATTAAACAAATTTGGGCAGACATGAAAGAGAGAGAGTTTCTATATGTTTAAAAAAATTAAAATGAGGTCAACTATATAACACTTGGTATAAGGGAGTCATGGATCATATTCCCCGTAGAGGAGAAGGAGGAGGGGTGTTCAAAATCGAATCAACTTAATAGAAAATAGAAAACTAAATCAAACCAAATTGAAACCGTAATTATCCAAACTTCACTTAATCCACATTCTAAACCAAATCATGATGCTTGGTACGATACTACCCCTTATACACAATCTAAGCTTAACCAAATCATGAATTTCAAAATCCTCATGATGCTTATAGTTGTAAACTACGATATAAAAAAGAGCTATAATGATTTTACCTTGAAATTGGCTTTAGAAGAAGAGAAACACGGTGGTGGAGCAACCAATTATGGACCCGTGACAAATTATGCAAGCGATTTAATTCAAATTTGATACCATTTTACACAAACTGGTTGTAACACTCAATTTCACACAAACCATTTTACAAGCGAGTTAATTCAAATTTGATACCAAAAGTTATATAAATGTGTATGGTTCTATGACTTTGAGTGGTAGTCTTGGCAGTACTGAATTAGGGATAATTAACTACTAAATTAACAGAAAAATTAACAGAAAAATAGATTAGGTTAGGAATTAGGTTAGAAATTAGGGCTAATTAACCACTGAATTTAAATTCTAAAATTCACAGTAGAACAACAGAGCAATTCAGAAAAAAATGATCATTACAAAACACAAAATCAAAATCAGAGCAATCAGTATCTAATAGACGAATCAAAATGAAGAATTGAAATGAAGAATCGAAAACACGATTTTGAAAAGAAATATGATGAAAAGATTTCAACCTGAAATGATTTTGAGAAGCGATTGCAACCTGAAGCAATTTTGAGAAGCGATTCCTTGCAACCTAAAACGATGAAATGATGAAATGATTTTGAGACGCGATTGCAATCTGGAGATGAAACGATGAAACAATGAAATGAAATATTTCAACCTGAAACGATTGTTAAATGCTGAAACGACAATTTCCGTCTGAATCGAAAAGAGAAGCTGAAAAGCTGGAGATGAAACGATGAGAAGCTGAAAAGATTTTCTTTCTTTTGTTTATTCTTTACAATTCTAATTACATTTACTAATTACTTTATGTTTTTATTTTATTTTTACTAAAAAATTTTAATAAATAGGTTTTGATTATATTTTAATTACTAATTTATAATATTTTACTTATTTTATTTTAATTTTATTTTAATAAATAATTTTAATTCATTTTTTCGTTTTATTTTATTATTTTATTAATACATAGTTTTAATTTTATTTTATAAGTTAAACTTTAATAAACTTTAATTAATTTAATTAAAATTTAATTTTAATTTACTAATTTATAATATTGATTTTATTTTATAAATTTGAGTTTAATATACTTTTGATTTTATAAAATTTATACTTTGTTTTATAAATTTAATTTTAGTTAGTTTTATTTTAATTTACTAATTTATAATATTGATTTTATTTTATAAATTTAATTTTAGTTAGCTTAATATATTGGTTTCTTATTTAATAGTTAAAAATAATATACTAACAAATAGTTTGAAACAATAAAAAATGAACCAAATTGGTGGGGAAATGAAATTATTTGGCACTAATATTAGCTTCGGTCAACAGCGGCTAATATTAAAAATTAATAATTATTTAATGCAATAAATAAAAAGGAGGCAAACAAAATTGGTGTAGGGAAATGAATTATTTAACACCAATATTAGCGTCGGCCAACCCGTTGCTACTATTGAAAATTAATATTTATTTAACACAATACTTAATAAGGAGGCAAACATAGTAGTTAATAAGGATGCAAACGAAAATTTGGTACTAGTACTAGCGGCGGCCCGAACCGTCGCTACTATTAAAATTAAAAATATTATTTAATACAATAAATAATAAGGATGCCAACGAAATTGATGGGGAAAGGAAATTATAAAGAGCAAGCTTTAGCGTCGGCTGTGCCCGACACTATGATCAACGTCCTAATAAAAAAATAAAACAAATGGCTTTATTCAGTTAGCGTCGACTTATCCCACCTTAATAGCAACGCTGTGAGTGTCGATGTCGGGGCCGACGCTAAAAAATTACAGCTAAATGGTGATTTTCTTGTAGTGGAATGAAGTTTGTCTTGATGATCAGTTTATCGAAAGTGATATTCTGAGAGTCCAACAAATCTTTAACCTTAGGTTTGAAGGCCCAACATTTCTCTATAGTATACCCCAAAGAATTGGAGTGATACTCGTATCTGGTATTGGCATCGTACCTTGGTAGAAGTGCCCTGATTGGAGGAGCTAGAGGTTTTAGCTCTACCAAAGATGCCTTGACTAGGTGTTGCAATAATTAATTGTGCGTCATGGGAGCGGATCAAACTTTCTTGACGACCTTTCAAACCTGCTCTGTTATTGTTCCCGTGGAATTATTAATGGTTGTTGTGCCCTTGGATGCGAGGCTACATCATTAATTTCTCCTTCATTATTTTTCGGGAAATTAGGAACATATATTTTATAAGGGGTACTAGATGATGCCCCTTGTATTTTCCCGCTCTTTATGTCAGCTTCAATTCTTTCACCAATAGTCACTAAATCAGAAAATTCGGAAGAGACGCTTCCTACCATCTTTTCATAGTACAACCCTTGTAAAGTTCCCATGAACATATCGACTAATTCTTTCTCCAGAAGTAGTAGTTGTACTCAGGCTTCCATTTCTCTCTAACTTTGAGCATACTTATTGAAAGACTCTTCCTTTTTCCGAGTTCTGGAGTTTCATGCGGTTAGGTACCATGTCCATGTTGTACTTGTACTGTCTCAGGAAAGCATTAGCAAGATCTTCCCATGTCTGGATATGAACCCTCTCCAGCTGCATGTACCAATCTAGGGATTCCCCACTCAAATTGTCTTTAAAATAATGGATCATCAACTTCTGGTCCTGAGCATATGTGTAATATGGTGGAAGAACTGACTTGGGTGTTTTACGTTTTATCACAATTGTTGCGGATAACAAGAGTCGCCACCAACTTTTCTTTTGTCCAATAAAGGAAAGGGTGAAAAGAACAGGAAATACCTTTTGAGATAATTTCTTGAGTTTGGGGGGTAGGTTATGAAAAGGGAAGATGTTAGCACCCTTTTCATTCGTAGTTATCTACGGGCTCTTAGTTGCTAGCTCACTTTGAAATGCTTTGTTTGAAATGTGTTTCTGATGTTTTTTTGAATGTATTTTTTAAAGTGCCTTTGTTTAGGAGAACTTTGTAATGATTCTCGTCTCTATAAGAATGTATACAAAGTGTTGACTTTTGAAAATATTTTGTTTGAAAGTTCCTTTTCTTAGGAAAACTTTGTAATGGTTCTCGTCTCTATAAGAATGCATACGAAGTGTTGACTTTTGAAAATATTTCATTTGAAAGTGCTTTTGAAAGTGCCTTTGCTTAGGCAAACTTTGTAATGATTCTCGTCTCTATAAGAATGCATACAAAGTGTTGACTTTTGAAAATACTTCATTTGAAAGTGTTGGTGTGTTTTGAAAGATGTTTTGAAGATGGTTGTGAGCAAGCAACTAGGAAAATTCTACCTACTCAAAGAGTCTTAGTTCTTTTCCTCCTACTTTAGATATTACTATCTTACCATTGATTGATAAGAAGCCCTATCATTGGATGTGAAGGGACAGGCGTAGGTCGTCGTACAGTCATAGAAGACAACATTGTAGGATACCTTAGAAATTTTTGTAAGTGTCTAAGATCATTTACCGAAGGCAACATCGAAGGGTCATCAATGGACTATGATCTTTTATTCGAGGGTCATTGCTAAAGTATCCCACGTTCGAGGGACATGACTGTTTTTTCTCAAGGAAACAAGTGAGGTTAACCCTAGAGGTGCAAGTGTCCAAAGTGTTTTTTTTTCATGTATTTTGTCTTGAGATTAAGGTTCTCTATTGTTTGATTTTTAGTCTTGCCATACACACCCTAATTACTAGCAATTATATTGAAAGAGATAAATTGCGGAAATGTAAAGTCCTACGCTATTACAAAGCTTCGGGAATGGGGGTACAAATTTACAAATGGGGGATGAAAGAAATTAAAACCTAATTACTATTAAGACCATATTGAATAATGAATAACAATAAAAATATAAAGAAATATGAAGATAATGTAAAAAAAAGAGTTGTTTTAAAAAAAACTTTTATGTATTGACACATGAGCTTATGCATTGATACAAAACCTTTATGTATTGATACATATCAATCCTTGATCATGGAAATAAACAATAACTCAGTATGAGTCGACACATAAGGGTTTGTATCGACTCATACTACTTTGTATCGACACATGCGCTTTTTGTATCGACTCATACTCATTTCTTGCCCCTGGAAGTCAAAAACAACTCAGTATGAGTCGACACATAATGGTTTGTATCGACTCATTTCTATTTTGTATCGACACATGCGTGTTTTGTGTCGACTCATAACCTGTTTTGTACATAATATGTGTCGTCTCATAGTGTTTCGTATCGACTCATACTGCTATTTTTTTACTTCTATCATTATTCTGCTACATGTAAAAGTCAGTTTTCAACACATGGTTAGTGAAAAGGAAAAGCAAGCATATGGTTAGCTTCAAGGAAATGATATCTAAATTTTACCTTCACAAATTAACCATTAATGATGCTTTTTATGAAGAGTTCAAAGTCAAGAAAACTTACTTGAAACTGAAATTTGTGCTTTGAGTTTGAGTTGGAGAAGTCAAGTTGTAGGTGGTTGTTTCTGAGTTTGGAAAATAGTGATGTTACAGAAGTTGCTCTTGAGTTTGAACAACTTCTATATGATGTATGTGGAGTGTTTGGATGGTTTGTTTGGACAGAACTTGCAAGGTGTGAGAGGTTTAAAGGATTTGGTCTTCAAATCTCAAAGATGGAGATTTTTATGGACAATTCTGGTTTTTAGAGTAAAGGGGGTTGGAAGATTTTCCACACACAAGAAGCTCTCTATTTTTCTGACCCCTTTTCTCTTGTAAATTCTCCATCTATTTATAGGCAAGAGGTTTAGGAACAAGAGTTGATTAGGTTTGCAAGACAACATGTTATGGTTTGGTTGGGATGCAAATATCAAACTTTGTGAATTTTCCATAGTCCCAAGATGAAGTACGAAAGCTGTTGGTATAGAGGGGGAACTTTACATGGTTTATGGTGGAGTAAAATTAGAAGTAAACATGGTATGGGATAAAAAAAAGTTTTGTACCAACAAGCTTGCTTTTCAAGAATAGCAATGGAAACTTTTTACCTTAAATGGCAAGTTATTTGGATAATGGCTTATATCTCTTGGGTAATGGTTCAAGATTTTATGTAAACATTAAATTATGGAAGGATTTGCAAGCAAGAAGGCCTGAAACATAAGATTGTTCAACATAGCATGTAGATTGCATCATGTGTTCTTCAACAAAAAGACTTGCAAATCAAGAATGGATGTCCAACTTCCGTCCTTTGAATCTCCTAGCTCAAGTATGATAAATTCATGATCTTGGATGTTTTTGAAAGCTTGAAATATTGTCTACAACTTTCATGTAGACCATTTGGATAACTCAAATTGGAACTTGATGAAAATTGACCAAGAAGATGAGATAAAAACTGACCAAAACCTGTTGAAAATTTCTCTAAGTGTTGGATAACAATGTCATGACTTCATGGACTCATATCTTCAAATCGAAGCATTTTTTGGACATCAAACCTCTAAAACAAAGTTGTAGAATTCATCAAGATCTACAACTTTCATGTTGAAAGTTTCTTTCGAATCATCTTGCACCTTGGTGAAAGAATGTTTTGAAGTTATGAAATTATCATGTATGAAAACACTTAGAAAAATTTCTAAGTCTTGGAAAGTTTGACTTTTCAAATTGACTTTTGACTTTCTTGACTTCTTGATGATCAAGCTTGATATTCTTGAATGTTTTGATCAATTTTGATCTTTGAAACTTAATTTTTACCAAAAAGTCAAAGTTTGACTTTTGGTGTATTAGTTGACTTTTTCATCAGTTGACCAAATTTCATCTATCAATCCAATGATCTTGAGAAATGTTTTAAGCCATGAAATTAGGTCAAAATGATGTCCTTTAATCCTTGATATCATGTTTCAAACCAATAAGTCATGTATTAAGTCAAAAGTCAAGAATCAATCATTCTCAGTCAAAACCCTAATTTGAGGCATCAATGTTGAGGAGATAGCTTGACCTAGTCCAGACTTGTACAAGCTAAAGCTATTGAAGATCTTGTGAAAAATATCTTGAGAAAAGAGAGGGAAAATTTTAGGGTACAACAGCTGCCCCTGTTCAATCTTCTTAAACCTGAAGAGTTAGATTGGCGAGTCTGCCATTCGTGACTTGAATGTGGAAGATAATTAAACACTAAAGTGCCCAGAAATTTGCACTCAACTATGTGTTAGTCGATTGTGTCAGGAATGGGCTTAAAAATGCCATTTGGAGAAGTGATGAAGAGTTTTCCGGAGATGGGCATACAGATGCCATCCAGAGTGATTGTTGATAGAAATTAGACTAAGTCTAAGCTTGACTGTAACTGGGAGAAGTATCGGAATAAATTTTTGGCCAATTTAATTTGAGTCAGAAGATATAGTGGAATGAGTGTCAGAATAATATCCATAACTGGATCGTATCTGACTCGTATCTGAAAGATGTACTGAATAAGTGTCAGAATAACATTCGCATCTGGATCGCATCTGAATTGCATTTGAAAGTTGTATTTGAACGAGTGTCAGAATGACATCTGCATCTAGATCGTATTTGAACTGTATTTGAAAGATGTATTGAATGAGTGTGAGAATGACATTTGCATATGGATCGTATTTGAAAGATGTATTGAATTAGTGTCAGAATGACATCCGCATCTAAATCATATCTGAACTATATTTGAAAGATGTATTGAATGAGTGTCAGAATGACATCCGCATCTGGATCGTATCTGAAATGTATTTGAAAGATGTTTTGAACGAGTTTCAGAATGACATCCGCATCTGGATCGTGTCTGAACTATATCTAGGAGAAAATCTGGAATAAGTGTCAGAATGACATCTGTCTATGGATCATAGTTGGACTGTATTTGAAAGAATCTGGAATAAGCATCAAAATGTCATCTGTATTTGGATCGTATCTAAACCGTTTCTAGAGAGAATTTGGAATAAGTATCAAAGTTCCATTCGTATTTGGATCGTATCTGAACCATTTCTAGAGTGAATTTGGAATAAGTGTCAGAATGTCATTCGTATCTAGATCATATCTAACTGTTTCTAGAGTGAACATGGAATAAGTATCAGAATGACATCCGTATCTGGATCCTATCTGAAATGTATCGAGGAGTAAATTTGGAATAAGTATCAAAATGTCATTAGTCTTTGGATCGTATCTGAACTGTTTCTAGAAGAGAATCTGGAATATGTATCAGAATGTCATATGTCTTTGGATCGTATCTGAACCGTTTCTAGAAGAGAATTTGGAATAAGTATCAGAATGTCATGCGTCTTTGGATCGTATCTGAACCATTTCTAAAGGAGAACTGGAATAAGTATCATAATATCATCAGTCTATGGATCGTATCTGAACCGTTTCTAGAAGAGAATCTGG